CTCAGAATTTAAAACTCTGATCGCGGAAAATATAAATCATAAATTGCTTCAATTGTTTCTTGTCCTAAAAAAATAAAATAAAATTTCCTCGTAATCCTTGTAGTACTCTTTAAAACAAATACTGCATGCGTATAGTTGTTTGTGGGACAAGATTTTAATTTAACTGAAAACTGCTGCAATGCTGGTTCGCTATTGCAGGGGCGGCGCAGGCTGTCGTGGGGGGCCGACATGCTCCCCCGGCCTCCCGGTTCCGCCGCGCCATGATGGACTGAGTCGGAACTATAAAGGGGTTTGACAAACCTCCAGGCCGTTCACATATCACTCCTGCATGGTGATTTTTAGGACATGAGTTGTCTATCCATCCATCATGATTACAATCTTTCAGTGATTTGTCGCTATTGCTACAACGTACGTTTGACAACCAGATTTTGGCTGGTCCTCCTCCAAAATGGCTGATAGGTACTAAAGCTTGTTTAAATCCTTTCATTTGACAAGCGACATCTGCATCGTTTTTGTTCCAACCATTACCACAAATTGATCCTGCACTGCCGTTTACCTTTAGAGTCACTCTGCCATCATAGTCTGATGTTCGATTTTCCAGATCGACTGTTATTATACCTGTGTTAACGTTAATAGAATTGATTACTGAGAAGTTAATACTCTGAAGTCATTCATGGAAGGTTTTTAACAAGTTTTCTAGTCTCTGACCTTTATAACGACGGCAGACCACTCCAGCATCCATGCCATGGTTACATAAAGTTGTCTTTTCCTGCCCATCACTAGTGCATTTCTCAATATTGTTTTCATTTCCTTTGCATCGAAGCCCAGACATCCATATTGGCCCAGTTCCTTCGCCATATGACTTATAAGCTGTAACTGCGCTATCAAAACCTCTCATGCGACATACTACATTAGCTTCATGCATGTCCCATCCCGAATTGCAAACCGTTCCCCAAACTTTGTGTCTTTTCACTTCAACTCGGCCTCTTGTATTGTCTGAACCACCTCTGAGACGTACATTCTGAGGTAAGGGTGTTGGTGTGACTGTAGAGGAAAACAAAATTGTTTGCATAAAGAATCTATTWAYCATYTTCTATTTTCTGGCTAAACAGATGACAGAACTTACCTACARTTTTTGGAGTGCAAACAACCCCGGCGTAATTGYCTCCTTCACATGTGTTAACCTGTTCTAGCTTTAAACCTTKGCACTCTTTCATGGAAGTTTCTGTTCCTTTGCAGTGATTGACAAGCTCAAAACTTACGTTACCAGTATGTTTGCCCCAATGAGAAATAGTCAGTGCTCCGTTAAAGTTTAGCATTTTGCAGATCACATGTGCGTCCTCTAGCTTTAAATCCTTAGCACATATATTTCCCCATGTTCTGTAATACTTTACGGTTAGGCGTCCAGAATATGGAGCTGSAGTKGTCACGTCCTCAAGACGGAACTCAMCATCTRGTGGATCKTWAACTGAACACATATTATGTCAAAAATTATCATCAAGGAAAAAGGAATTTTTAAATCTAGAAATCAAAGGTCTTTGTTCATACCTGTCTTACACACAATACCAGCTCGTAGGTTGTTTTTTTTTTCACAATTCTTGTTTTCCCAGTTCCAGGAATTACTGCATTCTTTGATGGACTTCTCGTCTCCTTTACAAGCCATATTTAAAAGCCATACTTCTTCTGTCCTTGGGTTTCCTGCTTGACTAGGGATTTGGGTAATGTACGCAACATCGTTATATCCATTCATTCTACATATTACCCATGCATCTTTCGCATGAAAGCCATCGTAGCAAATGGATCTGTTAACTCCATAGTAACTAATCTCAATTCTTCCATCCGCCATCACTTTGGCGGAGAGGTTTGGTGGCCCTGGAGACAAAAAAAAAAAAAAAAAGCGCAAATATTTGCAGTATTTTCAGGATTTCGATTCATAGGTTGCTGATATTGAAGGAAAAGTGCACCAAAATTTGAGCCAAATCCCCTGTTTTATGACAAATATTTTTTACTGTATACGAAGTAAACACAAAAAGTCGGGTGTTGCAGGATGTATTGTATTTTGGGTTAGGGTTATTGTATTGCAGGGTATTCGCCATTTTCCATACATCGGTTCACTGGTCAAACACTAAGCATTCAGTCGAAGTTGCAAGGTTCAAATTTGAATAATCCTTTGAAATTAAGTACCTTGGCGCCTCGCTTGAGCGCTTTGTGTTTGAGCAGTGAAMCGAWGTATGGTAAATKGTGAATTGTTTAGCTTCAAACTCATTGTTCTCAGCTATTGTTTTATTGTCTTCATGGCTCAGGTGCCCCGCAACCTCAAGAATAAGAGTCGAAAAGTCTAGTTACCGTCTGGGAGACAAACTAATCCAATGTCATTACTGTGGTCGCAGGTAGATTTTGAACCCCACACAGGATGATA